CACACACACACACTCTCTTCACACTTCATGCCAAACAATTTAAATGTACAGTAGGGGGTAGACAAAATCAACCACTTTATGAAAATGCAACATTTGAAAATAATATTCAATATTAGACCTAATACAGCCAACTCATCATTGTAGCAGTGTTTGTAATTTCTGTAAGAGTTGTTTTAGTGTTTTTACATCAAACATGCTAATAGCTAGCATAAGTACAGTATTTACAGCTTCACCAGTATTTTTAGTCTTGTCAGGGTGGAAAAGCCACTGAAGCAACATTGAAACCATCATGTAATGTTAAATATCTCTCCTTACAGCCTGATATTAGTCTACCCTAGTCCACCAACAACTACTATTACACTACAAGGAAAAACATTAAGAACTTCAAAAGACATACTATGCAGGATTTTTTCTGTTTCTGTCTTTAAAGTTGGCCCCTGCCTCCGGCTCAACTGAGACCAGCCATGGTAGAGCAAGGTAGACAGCGAATGGAAGTGAGGGAGTGGCGTTACCAAGAGCAAAGCAGTGAATCCGAGAAATAAAAAATGTATCTTCTGATTGTTCCACAGCAGTTATGCACAATCCTGCAGGAGGTGTGCATAGTAGGATTTTGTGCCAAAGCTGTGTTTAGCTTAATACACCTTGGTCAAACAGACACACAGACTGCAGGTCTGTTAAACATTCATAATCTCGCATAGACCAATCTCAGCACTTTGTGTTAATGCTGTGTCAGAGCTGGAGAGGTGAGGAGAGAATGAGACAGCGATCTGCTAGCTACAGTGCAGAACTCAGACCCTTCGTGCTACCCAAAGGTTGACGCCCAGAAACATCCCGTACAAAGCAAAATACAATAATACAGGCAGGGGGGCTAGTCTAGTGGGTCAGTAAGATGATTGAGAGAGTTTACATATTGTTTTTGCTTTTTTTGTTCGGAAAATCCTACCTAGCCTGCCTTCAGTATGTGTGTGTGTGTGTGTGTACCATTCTGTAGTGTTTTGATGTCTTCCTCTCTCAGTGCTAGTTTCTCAGTGACAGTGGATACTTCCTGCTGTGAGCTCTGTAGAGATGTGGTGAGCTCTCCAACCTGACAACAAGCAAAGGCAAACACTTTTCATTACACAGTACAAACTCACATTCCCACAATGAATGACACCTAGCTCTAGTCTTATAATCTGTACGTGATCGAATAAACGTACAGTCCGCTGAATAATTCTGTTCTTCTTTTCCTCCAAAGGAATAAGTGTGTTTGTGTCGGTGGGGCACCACGTGCTGGCTTTCTATTAGTGTGAATATTGCATGATGTGTGTTTGGCCACAGACCTGTGTTTGCAGCTCCTCCTTCTGGTGCCTTGTTTCTTCTAGAGCTTTGGCTATTTCCGTGCTCACTGTCTGCCGGCTGTTTAGCTCCACCTGAGGGAACACACCAAGACCAAGACCGGAGTGAGGACTGCAAGACACTCTGCTTCGCTTTACAGTAGGAAAATTCTCTATATTTCTAGTGGATCTGTGTAAAGTCATGTTTTAGTGTCTAAGCATTAGATTTTCATTATTTCACCATAAATTTAAGTACTGAATAGATTTTTCCATTTCATGTGTTAAAATACTCAATATCTAATATAACTTCAAATATGAATTTGTGCACATATAAAATAAAACCCAGTGTGTTATAGTTGTTCTTACTCTGCACAGCTCCAGCTCCTCTGTCCGCTGCTTCAGAGAGGAGTCTGCCTCGCTCTTCTGCCTGTCCAGATCAGCCTAGCACACATACAGGAAAGTATTAGTCAACACAGCAAACTGTGCTCTCTCTTCACTGCAATACACGCGTTTATATTAAACTATTAACCAATGTCTCTCAGTGTGACAGCATGGCTACTGAAAAGTGTTGTATATTACAAATAAATATTTTTAAAAGGAGGAATTGAAATGGGAGTAGAACATACCCCCCTGTCCTGCAGCATCTGTCTTTCTGTCTGTAGAGAACTGATGCTTTCCTCCAGCCGGCTGGCCTTTTCCTGACTCTGCTGTTCTAACAAGCACAATTGTTGGTCCAGAAACGCCTTCTCTGCACTCCACTCTCCTTGCTGAACAAACCACACAAACAAAAGCAAAGTTAAACACAACACATGCATACAAAAACACACTTTAAGTTGTTTCTAACCAAAAATCAATATTTGCCCGTAACAAAGTGAAAACTTAAGGTTTTAATAGCAACATATCTTTCTTTTAATTTCTTTATATGTTACAAATGGGAACATAGAGCTGCAATGATTAGTCAATTAGTTGATTAGTTGTCAACTAATAAATTAATCTATTTCGATACAACTGTTTCAAGTAATTTTTTTCATAAACAAATGATTTTATTTTCTGATTTCAGCTTCTCCAATGTGAATATTTTCTGCTTTCTTTAGTTAGACTGACAGTTAACTGAATATCTTTGGGTTGTGGACAGAACAAAACATTGGCGGATGTCAGATTGGGCTTTGGGAAACACTGATCAACCTTTTATGGACCAAACAACTAATCGATTAATGGAGAAAATGTTAAAATATCATTGAAATAGCAAGGAGCTTTTAACATTTGACGTGACTCTTTAACACAAAACAACAAGTGAAATACAGGGACATTAAGACATGGATAAAAAGTACAAACAAAAAGAAAAAGAAAGCAGGAAGAGAAAAAAGATAAATAGATGAATGGGTGGGGGTATAAGTCTCAATGGGTAGTGTAGGGAATGCACGTTGTGTGTGAGTTGTTGTGTCAGTTTGAGTTATAATAATGGGCTTGAAAAGATCTGAGTGGGAAAAGTGTAGTAATTTCACTGTCATAATACCTGAAATTAAGAACATTATGTGCACTGCTGTCTGCCACAGTGTCATTCTTGACACTGTCACCAGATGGCCCCAAGAGAGGAATTTACAAATCCTACAAACTGTGTACTTGTTTGAATGTTTAAATAAAAATATGCATTTCATATTTAATACACTCAACAATTTATTGACCAGCGCTGTCTAATAATTGAGGAAAGTGCTTAAACATTGTGTTCAAAGCTCTCACTTTTGGTTTTAACATGCCATTTCCCCCAGCTGGTAAAATATTAGTAGCCAGTAGTCTTCTAACAGCCATTTTGGAAAACATCAAGCCTATCTTAGTCTGAAAAAAAGACTCTTGTGTATACTCACCAGTTTATCCATGTGCTGCTGTTTCTCTGTGATCTGCTGCTCTGCACTCTTCAGTCTCTCACTGCTGTCTAGGACCTGCTGCTCCAGATTAGCTATCTGAAACAGCAAATACTAAAATGATTGATTGTAACCAGACTTCAACACTCAGATCAACATCATCAGCAAGTCAGCAGAAATCCATTTATTTCCTATTAAGGTGAGGAACCAGACATATTAAAGTGGGCTGGTGTCCATTGCCTCATTTTTCTCTGTGGTCATCAGACAGTCTTTTTCTGTATGCCTTCCTTGTGTGTGAGTTAATGCTTCAAAAGGAACAAGTTATCTAGTTGATAATTGAATTGACTCAGCAGCCACAATAACTTAACTGCAGACTCTAAAGATATTTGGTGGTTGTGTACAGTATCTGTCAGTTGGCTTCTGTACCACTACTGAGTCTGTGTGCTTACTTGTGTGTCTGTTCTTTCTCGGTAGGCTCTGGAGGAGTCCTCTTTGTGTCGGAGGAGGGTCTGCAGCTCAGTAATGCTGCAGCTCATTCTAGATACCTGAGGTCAGACAGGAGAGACACAGCTGGATGGGTATTCTGTCATACAATTTATTACAAGACCATTTATATTTTGACAATTTAGCCTGTTTTACGTATGAAAGAAACATCTGGATTGAAATTGACCAAGTCACGTTAGTAAAATAAATAAAGGATTGCTCTTTTTATTCACCTGAAAGCGACCTACATAAGCTAATTTAGCACAAGGAGTAAATATCTCAGCACTTATCGTTTTACTTAATCATAATCACAGCAGTTTCAGGGCCTTCAGCATAGGTCAGGGGTTAGGGAATAGATGCACTGGTTTACCTGTGCCTCCAGAGAGCTAACAGTATCAGCATGGTTAGTCCGAACCACCAGCAGCTCTGCTCTGGTCTCTTCCAGACTTTGCTCCAGGCTGGACTTCTGCAAAGATAAATAGGTGGTATGGCTTCTATATTTTTCTCAACATTTCCATATGGTGTCTGAATATCTTTTAAAGGACAGGGCATAGCCATAATGAAATACATGTAACATTGTATGTTTGAATGCACAATATGTGTAAAATAAAAAAATAAAAAGAACACACTTCTTTAAAAAGACTGACAGTTCTTTTAATATTCATACTTTGCACATGACGTACTGGCTGGCGGCAAGAACATCGTTCTCCAGCAACGAAACCCAGTAAACTAATCAAGGATGTTGCCAGGACGTC